CACACACACACACACACACACACACACACACACACACACACACACACTTTGACTTGAATGCAAACAGACAGGTTGAGTCTTTCATGAATAACTTGGATGACTGAATAAGCACAAAAAGCTTCTGTCCCATGGCTTAAGTTAAAAAAGGTTAAAGTTGCAGCATGATGAGAATTCCATTTCCTGGTCTCATTTTTCTTGTTGACAAAGAGCCTTTTGATGATTTATTGCGTCCAAAACTACCAGAGTTATTGTAATTTGTCATATTCCTGATGAAAATTAGATTAAATGAGATTCTATTTTTGGATGAACGCTCTGCTTTGTCAACAGCATGCTTGTGGTCACACTGTTTTTCTGTGCAATGCAGTAGTTGGCACTGTTTAAAGGAAGGATTAGATGAGCATCCAATCTAAAAAACTGTTTCCTAATAATTTGTAACCGAAGAAAATAAGAATTTCATCGACATCAAATCACAAAGTCAGCTGGTTGTTTGGCCCAAATAACCCGATTCCCCGGGCTGTTTGAATGAAAGCAAGCTGTGGCATACAGTATATCAAGCTCATGTTAACCTTATTTCTCTCTCTCTCTCTCTCTCTCTCTCTTTCTGGAGGCCTCTTGAGATCACCCACATACCTGAGCAACAGATTCGAACAACACAATGTCAAAACTTCATTCTTTTACTCACAAAAATATCGAACAGCTTACAAATAAATATTTGCAGAGATGAGAAGACATTCATGTGAGTCTGACGGAGGTAGAAAATAGAATCCACTCCTCTGGTTAAAAGCTAAACACCTGACTCAGTAATTCAAGACAAATATACAGTAAATGTCAAATGACAAATCTTCTTTTTGAGTGTAGACTCGTGTTTCAGTGCTGCTTAAACTCCACATGTATTAACAGACACAATACAACATTGAGAACTAGATACGTTATTGAAGTTGACAACATTAAAACAACTCTTGTTATTCAAGTTGATGTTTAAAAAAATATATTTTCCAACAGTTAGTTAGTCTCGCACACATTACGGTTAAATACAAATATTCAATAGTAAAGTACACAAAACATACAGACAGACACACATGTGTGGATATCATATTTACTCCACACACATGATAATTATTGACCCTCAATAACTTGTTCAGGGGTACTTTTACACACAACACACATACACACACACACATTGAATAATTATATATGTAAAAGCAGGGTTGGGGAGATTATTTTCACAATGGGTATAATGTAATATGATTCTGGGTAGTCTTTATAGATAAACTGTATGCGGGCGACTTTGTCATCATCACTTTGAATTTGGAAAATAAAGATACAAAAACCTAATCTAAAAACACTTGACTATGTTATAGAAACACATCCCAGTGCGTGAAAGTAATCTCTGACAGATAACGTTCATGATAATGTTCAGATCTAAAATCTGATAGGATCAACGCAACGAGTGGGTATGCTGATATTTGGAGAGATAAAGAGGAAGGAAAGTATTTCTGATACACAAAAATACACCAGTAAATTATCTTGGACCAGCTGTGATGTTTATCAGGCAGGAATGAAAAACAAAAATCTGAGGAGGTTATGATAAGTGAGCCTCAAATGAACCCCTCTATTTCAAATAAGACTTTTTAGCTACAGGGCAAACAAAATGTATTTTCTATATGCTTCATGGGATTTGGCTGGTTGTGCCAAACCCTTAAGGCTATTAGCACTGCAAATGTGGTGAGTTTGTGTAGAAAATGATCAGTTGTTCTTGAGCAATACACTGCTGCAACAACTATGGCGCCCATCGTAGATGTTGTTCAATACAGTCTGAATCTTTTACCATTGGCGGTAAGCAGCTGGCGCTGCAAAATCTTTGCGAAATGAGGCTTCCATTGTAGTTGTGAGGAGCCTGACAGTGTGCAAGAGGAATTTGAACCAGCAACCTTCCTGCCAGTGGCTCATTTTTCTACACTTCTAATCAACGGCAAAGAATTTCATCTGTGGCAGCTTTTAATAAAGGATTATTTGGGAATTCCATTATGTCATTCACATGTAACAGCAGAATTGTCCTTAAATATTTGACTTCTATATTTGTCCTGTTATTCAGTGGTAGGCAATTAAATGGCTGTCAATTAAAACGTCACCTTTCTGTTGGTATAAACTGGGGGTGAACGAAATAATAGAGACATCTTCCAATAATAGCCACATTGTACCAATGTGGTGAAGCTCGTAATGTTTAGTTTTACTTTGAGGCTGTACTTTTTGTATACTTTTGCATTGTGTACAGCCTTTTTGTACCTCAATAAGTTGTGTTAAGATGTCTTGGAAATTCATTAAGGTTTTAAGTCAAACCTTTCCAAATTCTTACTAATACTGCTGAACACAGTTTACTTGTGTAGCTGTTATTAGGAATACTACAGCAGCAAAGAAGGACAGCGATGTGAAATGTGAAGTTTTTTGAGCACCATCAAATTGATGCGCACGGCACGACTAAGCACACAGTGTAAAGTCTAATGTCTTAATCGGTCATGCAATAGAAGCCAGGTTATCCTCACAGCTCCCATTAGCAGAACTGTTAGCCGACCAGTTCGTCAGGGAACCAGGAGCTACTTCTAAAACCTGCTCACGGCAAGAAGCCGGAGGAGCCAGAGTCAGTGAGCTGTCCTGGATAGAGCTCTCCAAACTGCCCTTCCAACCTGACCTCTGCTGAACGTCCAGCCCCCTGACACCATTCAGGTCTGAGTTCCCATAGGTCCTACCTGGAGGCTTGGGGTAGCGACCTCTGTCCCTGCACCATCCCCATCCCCTCCTCCCTCCCCCGCGCCCCCATTTGCTCCTCAAACAGAGTACCTCCTGGAAAGCGTGCCTGAAGTCGGGGCTGCGGCAGTAAATGAGTGGGTTGAAGGCCGAGTTGGAGTATCCTAGCCAGTTGAGGAGTCTGAAGAGCAGCTTGATGTCCCCCAAGTTGAGGAAGGTCACAAGGATGTTTAGGATGAAGAAGGGTAGCCAACACAACGTGAAGGTTCCCATGATGATCCCCAGAGTTTTCACAGCCTTGTGCTCCTTCAGACAGAACTTAAGACGCTTTGCGGCAGAGTGTCTTCCTTCCCCTTTTTCTGGCCTTGCTCTGTTCTCGCCAGACTTTTCCACCGCAGCATCGTCTATCCCTCCTGTTTTCTGCATGTTTAGTCTGTCCTCTCCTGCTTCTTCTCCCTCCTCAGTTCCTGCCAGTCTATTCATTGCTGGACTATCATCAGGATAAGTCATCTGTGCAGTATAATGCAAGTTATAAAAGTGCCTCTCCCTCCCTCTGATCTTCTCCAGCTGTTTCTGAGCCTCCTGGAAGACACGGGTATACAGGACAATCATCACCACCAGCGGAATGTAGAAGGACACAATTGAGGAGGACACCGCGTATGCCGCATTGGTGTTGAAATCACAGCAGTACTCATCGTCCAAGCACTGGCGAGCTACCGTATCATTTGACACCCACAACTTCAGATGGATGGGCAGGAAGGAGATGAGGGAGGCCACTGCCCAAACCCCGAGGACCACTGCGAAGGCCCGACCCCTGGTCAGCGGAAGGAGACAAGAGAGTTAACATATTGTAGAATATTACAAACGTGTGAGTGAAAACAGACAGGTGAGATAATTTGATTGAACAAAATGTTGGCTGTCCAACAGTATAATAAAGGCGCTCGAAAAGCAACACAATAGACTCAGTTTGTTAACTAACAAACCGTCTCTTATGGCCACATCCTAAATTTGATCGTAGTTAACGTGGCACTTGTGTTCAGATTTTCCAGGATGTTGCACCTCTGGCCACACCCCGAAAAAGGATGTCACAACGGGTTTTGGACGGAAGATGAAAACACCTGCTGTGATAATACTAGTTGGCGGGTGGCTCGATGTACAACATGCTGGGAAGCTTGAACATGTAGAGAGTCAACACCTCCTTACACAAAGGTTTGTGGTATTCTACGAAAAAGTGCTCATTTTTTGTGCCCAGAAAAATGTGTCAATTTCCAATCGTTTCAAAATAAACTTCCTTTTTCACAGAAAACAACATAGTTAGTTTTAGGCAACAAAACTACTTGGTTAAGTTTAGTAAAAGATCGGGGTTCCGGTTTTTAAAAAAATACGGAATACGTTACTTAACTACGTGGATTACATATGCATTGATTTTGTGGGATACATACAACATAATTAGAGCGCATTCATTTTTAGGTATAGTTATAAAAGCTGGATGAGCACAGCCTGAGATAGAGGTGCAACATTCTTCATTTCTACTTCAACCCCCCCCACACAGCCAGAATACAATGTCTTGGTCATACCTGGTGAGTAGCGTCGGGTAGCGAAGCGGTGAGGTGATGGCGAGGTAGCGGTCCACAGCAATCACACACAGGGTTTCGATGCTGGCCGTCACAAACAGCACGTCAGCTGCTGTCCAGAATTCGCACATGAAGTTTCCAAACTGCCAGGTTCCCAGCAGGATGTAGCTGGAGCCAAAGGGGACCACAACCAAACCCATGATGAGGTCGGCAACAGCCAGCGAGGCGATGAAGAAGTTGGTGACTGTCTGGAGCCGCTGGAACCGCACGATGGCTGTAATCACTAGCACGTTACCTGGACAGAAGAAAATTGGGTAAAGTTTTAAACATACATATATATTTTAGTCTTGATACTCTAATAAATTCATCCAACAAACCATCAACCAACTGAAATGATTAAAAGCTCTGTAACTTACCAAATACTATGGCCAGAACCAGAATACCCATTGCAACACCCAGCAGCACCAGCTCTGCATCGCTGTACGCCGAAGATCTCGCCAACCGATCAGACCCCAGGGAGGAGTTGCTGTTCTGTGATTGGTTAGCCGGTGCTGAGAAAGCGCTCTCAAGTTCCATGATCTACAGCCAGAACACACAGCTTTGTTCATCATGGATTAAGACAGCGCAAGTGTTGTAGTTTCCAGCTCAGGTTTCAAGTCTTCATCTACATCAGCGATTTGCATGCTTCTGCTTGGGGTTTGTTGCTTCTCAGAGAAAGTGTGTGATGTCATATGGATCTAAACAGAGTAACACTATTTGTATATCAAGAGATAATTCTTTCAGCTGAAGAACCTGCCAAACCGCATCCAAATTGGAGTAGTATTTTGAGATGAAAAATGAGTTCATGTCCCATGCCGTGACAGGTGAGCTATCCTCACTCGAACTACTTGAGGTCAATGCCTAACCTTCGCCAATCGTCTCTGCCTCAACCAGCTACACACGGCGGGTCTTGTCAAGAAATGCAGTGGGATTCATATACAACGGGAGTGAGAGAGGAGGGATGGCATGCAGAGATGTTCCTGTTTACGTTGGGCTTCTAGGCTCTAAGAGGTGTTTGCAAAAGAGCACTTGCAGCAACATTGGCAGAGCAAGACCAGGCAGTGCATGAAATGTCTTATTGCACCTTCTGGCTCTGGGTGAGTTGGACATACAGTATATTGCAGTAGGTAGAATACATATATATATATATACACAGTTGTGTGAAAAAGTGTTTGCCTCCTTCCTGATTTCTTATTTTTTTGCATGTTTGTCACTTAAATGTTTCAGATCATCAAATAAATTTAAATATTAGACAAAGATAACACAAGTAAACACAAAATGCAG